TAATACAACAAATAATTAGAATATTATTTATCTTCTCGTTAGTATTGACAAAATTAAAATAACATTTTATTACTTAAAGATTGTTTTCAACGTTTATTTATTTTTTTTTTTTACTTACGTCTATATATTTTTATCAAAAATATTACACTTTTGATAAAAATATACAGAGAAAGATAAAAAAGATATTAAAAGAAAAATAAAAAATAAATTGAATAATACTCTTTTCGCTGGATACCTACCTACCTACCTACCTACCTACCTAGATAATAATCGAGTTAGGTGAATATGTCGAATTGTATCTCGTACGTAGTGTACGTATGTGTGTATGTAGCGTAGTTCAAACGACACCAACTGACGGACGTTTAAAAATCGATATCACATACAGTTGAACGTCACTTTTCACAAGTTGCATCTAGACCGGTCCATAATCTCAAAATTTTTATACACACACGTTTAAATATGAATGCATCGACACGTGACTTCCATAAAACTCATACTTATCCTGTCACAAATATAACATTTTTTGTTCGACATTATTCATTTATTAACTTTTATTTCACCTCAGATAAAAACGTTGAAAAATACGTGCTTTGATTTATTAATTTTTTTATTTTTTATTCTTCACCATTCAAATTGTATTTCGAGATTTCGTTTTTCATATAATTTTTTTATTCAAATATAATATAATAAATTAAAAGATTCATATACATATACGTATATATATATTGAGTTGGCAACTAAGTTCTGTTAATTTAAATTTATAAAAAAATTTCTTTGTCAATATAAATTAACAATTAATTAATCAATAACGCATTATCCTTCGTTAACATTTATGATATTGTTTAAACCAAATGTATAATACAAAATCATTCATATTATCTTGTCATCGAATAAGAAATTTGTATTATCATTATTATTATTATTACTCTTTCTTTATTTATTTTTCTTATTTTCTTTCTTCCTCTCTTTTTTGGTACGTACTATTTCTTTTTTATTCGTGTCGCGTCTCGTTTCAAAAAAATTCGAATATAACCGTGAGTTTATTTGAAATGGTGAAACTGTCACACGAGTACGGTGTTTTTTATTGTAACATTTGCTTCTAACTTCTTTATCCTTTGTAAAACAGGAAGGAAAAAGAGTGGGGGTGATATAGGAGTGGGAGTTAGAGTGGGGTGACAAGGATGGAGAAAAACGTCAAAGAAAGAACAAAAAGTAATGATCCTACCCGTAGGATATTGTCGTTTAAAGGAAACTTACATCGTTCATCATAAATCAATGATGAGATAATGGAGAGTTAGGTTGGTATACTTGATCGTTCATGGCAGAAATTAATTATAAAAGAAAGCAATACTCGAGAGAGAAATAGACTAATGTGAGTGAATGAGAGAGAGAGAGAGAGAGAGAGAGAGAGAGAGAGAGAGAGAGAGAGTAAGAGAAGAAATTTTTGTTAGAAAAGATCAATGTCATCCAGGATTTATCGACTTTTAATTTACACACACATACACACAAACACTTACACAAACATACGCATAGAGTACACAGTGCACAAATTTTGCCTACGTTACTAATTTTTCTCGCTAATTACCTTAATGGAATAACTGAGTAACGATTTTTAAATAAAAAAAATCTTTCGAAGAAATCGACCGATTTGAATATAATCAACATTGTTTTTTTTTTTTTTTTTAATTGTTTTAATTGTAAAGAAAAAATAAAGACATTGTACGATAATAACGTAAGTTGAATTATATTTGGAAAGAAGAAAAAAACATTTTTAGTTTTGGGGCTTGTTTTTTTTTCCCCGGTTAATGAGACTATTACAATTTTTAGGATACGATCCTCGAAAAATTCATTTTAAATAATAGAGGGGAAACGAGAGGGGAAAAATAATGAAAATAATGCGAGAGATTTTCTTACTTTATATTATCCTCATCAACGAACAATACGACTCCTCGAGCATTGTGTTTTGCGCTTAATCTCTCGACGATCCTATCAAAGTCTTCCGTTTTTGAATTTCGTAAGATTTTTTCGCTTACAGCTACGCAAATGTTGTATTCCATGGATAACGATATAAAACTTGCTATACCCTTAAACAGAAAAATTGTTTTATTTTTTTTACTTTTTCTTTTTTCATTCGCTTGTTCGTAAAGTAATTTCGTTTTTTTTTTTCTATTTATTTCTCGGACAAAAATTTTTCTTTTAATATGACAAATTATTTTATAAATTTATGCATGAACCTGATACGTATCATGTTTACGCATATCTTTCCTTTTTTATTTTTAGAAATTAAATCATATATCTAAATATATATGAGTATATATATGTGAGTATGTGTTAGGAAGCTTTAGAAAAAATATATTCTGATATTGTTGAAACCATAAAAAAAGATATGACAAGTATCAGGTTTTGTACCGTGCATCTATCAATGAATATTTCTATGAAATATTTGGATATTATTATTATTATTATTATTATTATTATTATTATTATTATTATTATTATTATTATTTATTTATTTATTTTTTTGTTCGCGTTATTTCATAAATATACAATAAAAATAATATTTCCACGCGAGTTATCGTTGTTATTTATTCAACATCATATATGTTCAAAAGGTATCATTCAATCTACCGTATAAAAGAAAATACGTAGGTACGTATTCGTAGGAATTCCATTTGCGTTGTTTTTACTTTACGACAAAAGTAGGAAGCATCATTTGAAATGCCGAACGAGAAAAGAAAACGGATATTGCTTTTATCGTTTAACGATTTTCACTTTATGTCTTGCTGATATGATCAAAATAAAAAAGAATATATACATACATAAAGCAATACAAAAATAATTGATGACATAACTAATTTATCAACGTTAAAATTATAATAATAATTACATAAACAAAAATATTACTAATTGGGTATACTATTACTAAGTAAAAATTTTTCTTTGTTTCGTACTTTAACAGATATTTCATATATATTATAATATATTTCATTGTGGATAAAAAAGATAAAATAATATAAAATAGAATTTATAAAAAAATAAAAAGAAATTGACTAACCTTTTCACCATAATCGCCTTCGACGGCAACTGTGGAAACATATTTCCATCCTAGACGATGTATCACCTCGACCATGGCCTGAGCTTGAAAACTGTCTGGTGGTACGACTCTACTGAAATATTCGAAACGACTTTTGTCGGATAATTCAGTACTTGTTGACGCATAGCTCACTTGAGGTATCTAAAACATGTCCCATAAGCATTTTACGATTAGTCATTATATATATACGATCACAAGAACAATTTATTCTCTCTCAATAATTTTTATATTACCTAAAATTTATCTCGAAATATTCTAAAACAAACTGTCTCTTGTTTTATTTAAATTCAATCGAAAACTGACCATTTGACTTTTGTTAACTCGTTATTCGTAAAAAATAATATTATTTATGGAATATTTAATATAAAATTTAAGAATAACGCAAACTATATATAACGTTTATATCATTTTTCATATAACAATAATAATAATAATATAAATATACATGAGAACATTTTGTAAGTTTTATAGGACCGGAATGGAAAATAAAATATTTATGATCTTAGAATATGATGATGTTATTTGCATTATATTTCGAATAATACAAATCCTCCCCACTTCTTTAATATATCTTGTATAATATTTATATTTATTTTGATCAACTTATTTTGACTATCTTGAATGTGTAACCATCTTCAATAAGTACTTATTGACTAACAACATGAAGTGAGTTAAATTGACAATACACAGATTTTGTTTAAATTAGTGTATAAGAATGCACGCGTGAAACTCGTTCTTTAAATTTATTTTTTTTTGAAACGGTTAATTATTGAGTCTTACTACTTGCACAGTGTACGATACTGATGTGAACAATTTCAGATAAAGAAATATCGATATTCTTTGCAAATAACGAATGCAAATAAATCATAGAAAAGTTAATTAATTTTTGTCTAAAACATTTACAATACTCTGTGTTAACGTTTTGTGTAATTTAATATTTACTTACGTAATTACATCTAACAAATGGAAAATAATTAATGTGAAACACACAACACTGAATTGTTTAACTCCTTAATTTCGATCTTTCGCAAATACAAAAGTAAGGACAATTCTAATGACTCGTCAGGTTGAAAAATGAACCCAATTAAAGGTGTTGAATGAAGATTCTATTATTCGATAGAACGGAGTAGTACCACTTTCTATGCTAATTTCACGAAAAATATATTCCGATCGATTACACACGACCATTAAAGGAAAACTTTCATTCACAATCAACCGAACCAATTGAGAATTTGAAATATATTTATTGATCTATTCCTTAGATAATATAAAAGTAAATGAATGTGTGTTATCCTTTGGGAAATAGATATGTATAATATATATATATATATATATTTGTTTTACGTAACATCGTGACACACGTATCGTATAATAAAACCTTCCTTTTACGATAGTTTTCATATGGGAGCCTTTTGAATGAACCACCCGTATATTGTTATCCTATTTATTTATTTTTTTGTTACTTTTTCTTTTTTTTTTTACAAATAATTGATTGGTAATTTAAATATTATTTTTTTTTAATTTTATCTTCAAAAGAATCATCGTGAAAGAAAAATCGTTCAATTAATTTTCCTAACTTTCAAGAGTTTATATTTCATTTCTCTTCAAAATTGATTTTTTTTTGTGATATAAAAATAGAGAAGAATATATAGATTGTGGTTTTTATTTCCTCTCTCTCTCCTCCCCCCTCTACTTTTTCCTATCGTTTTTATATATGTAATACATAGGTATCTCTCTTTTTATCTATCTTTCTCTTTTTTTTTCTCTTTTTTTTTCTTTTTTTTCTTTCTTTCTCTTTTTGTCAACGTACACGTCTAGTTATCGAACAGTAAAATGGTTAAACTCTTTTCTATGACAAGAAATCATAAAATATACATGAGCTCTCGAAGCTGCATCACTTTGATAATGTAATTTCTTTCACATTAGTGTCGTTGAAGCTACCAAATGAAATTCAGAAACTAAATGCATATCTTTTTCATGTCTTAAGTTACATAATTGTTTTTTTATGAAAAAGAAAAAAAGAACAAAAAAAGGATAAAATATTTTAACAATTTTTGTTGTTGTAAAAATAGCATGAAAAACATTGATCGTATGATTGTGAAGAAAAAAAGTAATTGCATCTTTACAAAAGTTTAAATGCAATGTTAATAAATAAATAAATAAATGAATGAATGAATGAATGAATGAATGAATGAATGAATGAATAACTAGAACGTAAAAGGGAACATCAATCGTTTAAGTTTTTGATTCACTCTCCCATATTTCAAAATGAATCCCGTCAAAGTGACTTCACTGATAGATCCTTTCAAGAAACTCCTTTCTACTTTGATAGAAAAGATTGTTCGCTGACCTGCATGATTCTCGTTGCATGAATTTCCAAGACATTGTCTTTTTTTTGTTGTTTCCTTTTTGTGTATTCTTCTATCGATCGAATATTATTTTTCTTATCTTTCTTTTTAATTCTTCTTCTTTTTTTTACCACCTCCCTCCTCCCATGTTTTTTTTAACTATTCTTCGTAACATTAATTATACGTCCTTGCTTATTCCATTTATAATGAAATAATATATTTATCATATTTTTCTAATCAACTTTATTACGAATTATTAATCACAATTTTCAATTTAATCGACAATGATAAATTTTCTTTTTTTTCTTTCTTCTCGTATTATACTCTCGTTTAATTGAAATCAAATTATATAAAATTAAAATAAAATAAACTAATCTGATTCAAGATAATAAATGGTCTTCGAAAATTTGCCCCATTTTCTATTTTAATAATAAACAAGAAGTAAGGACATTAATTAAAAGTAAAATAAATATTAAATAAATTCGTATATTTCTTACAGAAATAGAAAGATCGGGAAAAAAATAAGAGAGTAAAAACAGAGAGAAATAAAAAGAAAATATTACATGGAAGTAGACAGAAGAAAGTTTCCTTATTTTTCCACAAAGTTGTTGGCATATTTCTTTGATTTTGACTAGGTGAATGTGAGTTGAACAATAATATGTGTGTATTGTGCTATTTCTATCTTTTTCTCTCTCACTCACATACGAGTGAAAAGGAAGAGATAGTTAGGTAGGTAGATAGTTAGATAGTTAGATAGTTAGATAGATAGATAGATAGATGGATAGATACATAGATATAGAAAGCTCTTATGGTAAATAGGAAAATACGAGTGCCGAGTGCTTTTGCGAGCTAGTTCTCAAGATATCCACCCTCTATGAACTTCCTCGAGTGATGAGAGAACTTCTACGAGAAGCATGCACACCATGCTTCTCATTTCTAGAAACTTATATTGGCCAGCGTAAGTAGCCAAGTAAATCGTACAAGATATAAAATAAGAAGGATATAAAGAATAAAATAAAAATAAAAAGTAAAAGAGAGAGATAGAGTATAGGATACTAGTTTCAATCAAAAATAAAATACCACGAGTTTTTTACCTCGTTAGGATCCAATATCAAATTGATATCAAGTAAGTACAAAAATAAATACACCATTATTTTCTATTGATATAATATAAATCTTATAAATTGGAATCAATATAAATAGTATGGATAATATAGATAAAAGTAAATGATACTAAAAAAAGATATTTGAAAGATAATCAAAACATGATCTTTCTATCGTAAAAGTAAGATAGTTTATATATATAATATTGTAGATAGTTAGATTGTAAATAATATATATATTTTTATATATTATTAATATAATATATATAGAAATTATATAGTAGATAGTTAGATAATTTATATAATATTTAATTTATATTATATTTAATATATTTTAAATTATAAAATTTTATTTTGGATAAATCTAAAAACTATTTTTTTTTTTGAATAATGAGAAACTAGAAATGTTCTATACAAATATGATGTAGAAGTTAATTTCGTTATTCCAACATCGTAGGAATCTAGTTAACTGTAAATAAGTAGAAAACGTGATCTCGATGTTATTCTGCATTTTCTTTGATAATACGGTATATATATTATACAATCGTATATAATATAATAGTAAAATATAAAAAATATAAAGTAAATTATATACATATGTATATAAAAAAAATATATTACAATATAATTTTTTCTTTTTTTCTTTTTTTGAATTACCTTGAAAAGTCTTAGAATATTAGCTACCATGATGGAAACTACACTGAATGATGCTCCTATTACTCCGGTTACTGGTTTGTGTGGCATGTATATCGGTGGTTTATTATCTTCACATTTATATTCCGAAATATCCTGTAACAATCAAAATGTTTTCAAAGTTATTGCAAATAATTATTCAAAAAGGGGAGCGGAAAATAAACCAATTTATGTAAATAAATGTTTATTGTAATTATTTAATCGTACTATACAATATCTCTCTCTCTATCTCTATTTATCTTTCTTTTTTATATAAATAAATATTTATATATACACGTAAAAGTAAAAAATTTACTATCAAATGATTTTACCAAAGATAACGAGTTCACAATATTTTTAATTAAATTATAATACATTCGAAAAGTACATTTCGAAGTTGCGTTACCAGAATTACTTGAAATATTTAAAAGTGAATAACAACAAGTTAACTGGCTAGCCTCGAGCTAACGAGAAAACTAATACTAACTGCAGATATATGCATATATATATATGTGCATTCGTGTGCATAGAAAGAGAGAGAATTAGGGGGGGGGAGGTATAGAGAGAAATCTGGGTAATTTCTACGAAACAATAGTTCTACCTAACTCCCATCGTATTAACTGCTAGAAAATAGAAAATATATAATTCTCTCTACCATATTACGAAAATGTAAATGAAGTTTTAAGAAATATTTCACCTTTTTACAGCACCAAGACCTTTCAAAATTACCGTTTCATATACACTTATGAAAACTACTCAAACTTCAAAGTGTTTTATCGAAAGGAGAATCAAAGGATCCCTTTTTCATAGGTTTGGCCTTGAAAGGGAAGGAAAAAAAAGAAGTTTGATTTACATAGGCAAAAAGGAAAGGTATATAAAAGATTGATGGAACTCTTGGTAAGAGTAGGTACTTTAAAAATATCCATATCTTCGATCAAAATCTGTCAATAGTCTTCATATATATACTAAATCGATGATATCGATTGTAAATAAAAATTAGGTATCTTTTTTTTCTTTTTTCCTTTCTCCTTTTTTGACTGTAATAAAATTAAAATAAATTTCGTGTCAATTTTGTGGGATAAATAATTGATATAGAAAATTTTTTGGTGAATAATTTTATTGACGTAGGAATGATAATTAAAAAAAAAAAAAAATAAGAATAAATAATAAAAATGTCCTTATTAATATTCACTTGGATTTGTGTTTGCATTGTCGATGAGTTTCGATCGAGTGGTACCTTCTATTTATGTTCCTCGATGCAACCTCTCTCTCTCTCTCTCTCTCTCTCTCTCTCTCTCTCTCGTTCTGTCACGTATCACAGACTCTTCAGTGATTGCTTGAAATCCTACAATCACGAGCAATCCTCTCATTCTCTCTTTCTCTCTCTGTCATACTCTATTTATGATCTTCCAATTACATCGAATCACATTAAATGATCCTTCGATATATTTTTATAATTCCACTTTTTCAAAATTAAAATCCAAATATTCTTACGTATATTATCAAATTTATTTTTCATTATTACACAAATTTTTTAATTAAATTTTTCTCTTTGTCTCTCTCTCTCTCTCACACACTCCCTCTCTTTTAATTTAATTATAAAAATTAATACCTTAAATTATCCAGACATAACATACTTCTTTCGATTGAATAATAAAACGATTATCTAAGTGTATTGTAAAATTCTTCTATTAATTTTTATAAATAAAAATTATAATTATTTCCTATGTACTTATGTCTAAATATTATTATTATTATTATTATTATTATTATTATTATTATTATTATTATTATATTTTTATTAAATTATTATGATAAAAAACAAGATCATAGATAAAGTTAAAAATAGATGTGAAAGTAAATTTTGAGATAAAAAGTACTACTACTACTACTACTACTACCACTACTACTACTATGATCGATCGTTTTTATCCAACGCGTAGGATTTGTTTTCTTTCTAAGCCACTATTACGTAACTCGGATTAAAACTTCCAAGCCCTTTTTCGATCGAGAAGTCACATTTTTTCCACTCCGTTTCTCTTCCATCGATCTTGTCGATCATTCAACCGAGACATTCCGATTGTATATAACTCACTCTTTTGCTATTACATATGTATAATGAAAAGAAGATAAAATACAAAATATAGAGAAAAAATTATGAACAATATAGTGGATAACAGGATAAACTTATCCAGAAATTGTTTGTATAATAGTATATATTTAATTTAAAATATACTAGAGAAAAATAAAATAATAATAATAATAATAATATTGTGAAAATAATTTCGATTTGTTTGATTTGATCTAAGTTCGTTAATTTTTTTTAATTTAATAAATAAATAAATAAATATAAAATATAATTCAATTGATAATCAAAGATTAGTACTGTCAGTTAAAAAATTATTTAAAAAAAGAAAAAAAAATAGTTCTATGACATTATAAGAATAGGAAGAGGTTAACAAAATTGTAGGCTCGGGAATTAAAAAAGAAATAAAAAGAAAAAAAAAATCTGTGATATCACGTCGTAAGTTGTCGTTGTCGTTGTCGTTGCTGAAAGCTTACAACACTCGACCCTGATGATGGCGCTCAAGGGTGGCATAGCCATGCACTTTTGCAAAGGCAAAAAGGGTAAAGAAGAAGAGCAAAGCGCTTTCCCTAGGAAATTGCTTCTGACACGGGCAAAAGTGGAAATGAAAATGCGTTTGCTTTCGGTTCTTTCTTACTATAAAATGACACTTTTAGCGATTTTCTCTGTTATATATGTATATTATAATTTCTTAATTATTATCTTTACAAATTTCTAATCGATCACAGTATTTTCTTCATACCTTTTTCATTTGTTTGCTTGTTTGTTCGTTTGATTTGTGTTTTTATTTTCTTATTTTTTTTTTGCTTGCTTCTTTATTAAATTCTTTTTAGAATCGATTAATCGAACGAGACGATTAATAAGATTTTTTTGTTTTTTAATAATTGTACACCACCACCACCTTCACCCCCCCCCTCCTGTCTGCAGACTCAACTTCATTTCGTACAATATAATTATTCTTCTGTTTAAATGTGGTATTCAACAATTTCACGTTCATTGGAAGCAATTGTTTTCATGCGAAATTAGTCGATTAATCGAACGAGACGACTGATTTTTTTTTTTTTTTTTAATAATTGTGAACTACCATCCCCATCCACTTTTCCTGTTTGGAAACTCAACTTCATTTCGTACAATATAATTATTATTCTGTTCAAATATATTCTCGCGTAATTTCATGATTGATTGGAATTATGTTCATCTTGATTTTTTAGTTTTAGTATGATTTTTCATTTCATTTGATTTGATTTCATTCCATTTATATCCAACACGAAATTGATGGTAAGGATAACAAATTAACAATAATAATACTGGTAATAATAATTGTGCACATTTATACAGATCTTTTAAGTAAATGGGATTAGTTTAATTAATCTCAATCTTCTTTAATGAGATTTCAAAATCAAAAAATTTTCTTTTTTTTTTCTATCAAGCAGATTGAAAAGTCAAGCGTAATTCGTCATTCACCTAATACTGAATCGTAGCTTGATCCAATGGAAATAAGAGTCCAACCAACCGTTCCTTTTATCCGATGAATAAAACATAGGATACGTAAAAAAAAAGGAGACAAAGAGAGAGAGAGAGAGAGAGAGAGAGAGAGAGAGAGAGAGAGAAAGAGAGATAGAAAGAGAAAAAGAAGGAAAAAGTAGCCAGAAAAAAATCGGTAAAGGAAGAAAATTTAACTTGAAATTTAGACGAGTTTTTATCATAGGCGAATAATGTTAACAATTTATTAAAATTTCAATTTCATTTCATTTTAATTTTTTTTTTTTCAGGAAGCAAATCATTATGATTATGATGAAGATATTAATTAAATTGCAAATAATAAATCAAGGTAATAAATGCACGTGCATAGCTTCGTGTATAATTAATATAAAATAATTATTATATTATATATTAATATTATATAAATATAATTATATTATATAAATAATATATATAATTAAACGAATGTAAAATCGTCAACATTATTTACGAACAATTTTTTTCTAATATTATTTATTTATTCGAACGAACTAGAGAAGAAAAGAAAAATGTTGGAGTAAAAATTTGTTTGATATCTATTACCAAAATTCATCTTTTCCATGATTTTTCTTCGATCATTTGTATAAAAAAGATTGGTATGGCAGTTTTTCGATGGTCGGATAACTTTAAACACTGTTCCCACCGAGTAAACAACGTGCATAAGTCCATTTATTATCTACTACGTGGGGAAAGACAAACATGCCGTTTATCGATACGTTTGCATCGATTTTGAAGAAAATAACGAGACACATAGAGAGACATATCAGGAATGTTGACAATTACGTCATTCTTTCAATTTCTTTTCTTTTTTTTTTTTTTTTTTATACAAATAGTACAAACGAGATGAAGGAAAATTAAACAACGTTTTGACTTTACTGATATGTGTACCGATATTCAATCCAACGAAAAAAATGAAAACAAAAAAAATAAATACCATATTTTTATTAAAAAAATTGTTTTACTATTGTGTAATAATGGATTATTTTCGCGAATACGAACGAAATATTTCCTTTTTCTTTTTTACGAACGAATCCGTTTTTTAATTCTATGTTTTTGAGAAAAACTCATAAATTTTATTCTTTTGAATGTACGTTTTTAAATTCAATGGGGAAAAGGCGTGGATGAATCGGGGAAAATGGGGGAATTTTTTTTTAATTTTCTCTATTTTTTTTCATTTTTCTATCTTGTCTCCCTGTATCTACCTCCTTTAAAAAGAACGAAAAATGATAATTAAGTAAAATATTGCTATTTTATCTGTTTCTCTTTTTCTTTTTCTTCCTGTTTCAATAAAAATTGATAGAGAAGTATAATTAACAAAATGTAACGAAAAATAGTAGATAAAAAACTAGAAGAATGTTACATGTGACATTAGAGATAAATACGAAGATTAATTTACTATGGTATTGTCAGAGTACGCTTGAGAAAGGTTGAAAATCGAAAAATCGAAAAATAGAAACACACATGTACGATATATTAAACGTATAAATGTGTGTATATTTATCTGTCTCTTCTTTTTCTTTTTTTCTTTCTGAATATGTTTGTATTTTAAAGCTAACGTATAAAAGCTTAAATCTCTCTGAATGAAATTAAACGAAATATTTTTGAAATACATTCTCGCATATATATATATCGAGTATATAGTACTGTTTTAAACGATTATATCGATTATGTTTAATTAAATCGAGATAAATATATAATTAAAAAACAAAATCGATATCGTTTAAAACGATAAGATCTACGAAAGAATACTATATAAAAATAAATGAAAGAAAAATAATAATAATATTTCAATTTTCCGCGTAAATAAATTGGATGATGAAAACAAGATTGAAATAATGAAAGAAAAGAGAATAAAAAGAGAGGGAAAAAGAGGTTAAGTTAATGCGAAACATAGCAAGGTTTCGAATGAAACATTTTTTTCTCTGTTTTATAGTTTTTTTTTTTTTAATTTTTTTTTTATACAAGATCGTTAAATCCTCGTAAATCTTTGCGAGATAACACGCAACACGATCGTTCTGCTTGAAACAAGAAACACGACGATGAGAAGATACGAAGGAAAAATAAAAAAAAAAGATAAAATAAATAAATCAAGAAAAAAAAATAAATAAAAACAACGTAATACGCGGAAGAAATTTATATCCTAGGATTGCAAAAAAGAACAAAAAGGAAAGAAAAAAAAAATTATTCAACAAGAAAGAAATTCGCATAAATCCGCTGATATATTTGCGTTATAGTTCTGTAATAGCAAATAACTTTGAAAAAAAAAGAAAAAAAAAAAAACAGAAAATATCCATCCTATAAACGAAGATTAATAATATAATAACAAAATTCTCACCGATCGAAAACACACCTATCCTATGTACGACCATCCCTTCGAAAAATAAATGTGTATCTATAAAGTACCGAAAAAACACAACACGTACGAATCAGACGTTTCTAAATTAAAAAAAAGAAAACAAAAAATACGGTAAGTGTTTTTACAAAATATGCGTACGCATAAATAAAAAAAAAAGTAAATATAAAATTCGTAATTAATAAATTTTGTATACTATAAATACACTCATTACTAATATTATTATTATTATTATATGGATATACGTTGATACTATTAATATAACATCATTATTATAAAATATTATTAATGTATTAATAGGTCTAATAATAATTATTAACCAACCATACGAATTTATATAGACATTTTGGTAATATAATTATTATGTTAATACTACTAATAAGGATACAATACATACATACATATATATAATTATATTTTCCTATTCAAATAATAATAATAATAATAATAATAATAATAATAATAATAATAATAATAATAATAATAATGATAATAATAATATTTCTAATAATAATAATAAATGAACGATATATTGTAATTAAATGAATTTTCCTTAATTATCACGAATAGTCAATACCGATGTACTCAGGTTAATATCTCGAGATGAAAGGAAACGCCTAAAAGTTCACCCACATATCCATATCAAACATATATATGCATATACAGAAATAACACGCACGGGTATAGACAGATATGTTTGACATATCCCAAAGAGACCATTCAAATCAAAACAGACGAATTTTAGTTACCTGGATACCGAGAAATTCATACAAGCATAAAGAAAATCAACATAACTGATGAAATTGCTATAACGTATGTGAAACACGCATTTACCATCTGGTTAACGCGTAAATGAACCGGGTTTGAATGTTTCAACAGTTTCGACAAATTAACAATATAGTAACGCATACCTCCTGTGATGTACGTGTATTAAAAAAACATACAATCACATACACACATACACCACAAGTAAACGTGCGTTAACACTGGTAATAGATTAAAAGAGGGTGGAATTGAGGGTTGATGCAATATGCAAGCCGATCGGCCGATGATGGCTAATCATTAAATTTTCAATTTCGTGCGAGATTACACCATGCGATTCAAATTAATCGATATTATCGATCGAAAATGATGACCATATAGAAAACGAAATACAAATCATTCGAAAAAAAAGAAAAGAAAAGAAAAACAAAAAAAAAAGTTCTATCCCCTTCTTTATTTATTAATTTTTTTTTAAAAATTTATCATCATACGATGTAATAAGACATTGAATCGATTATCAAATAAAAATAAATATCAATTCGAAATAACGTTTATTCGAATAAAAAAATTAAAAAAAAAAGAGAAAACTCGTCAAAACGTTGAACCAATCGAAATATACAGGACGTTAAATTAATAATAATTATACAAATATGTACGTAATAAATCAAATGAAAAAATAAACAATCATGTAAATGTTTTCTTTTGTCTATTATTTTATTTTTTTTTTTTTTGTCATTCGAAAGAAGATGATCATGTGGAAAAATAATTATCGCAAAAATATTAGAAAATTGGATTGTTTTATTTGTAAATAAATTCATTGATGCACGCGTTTATTAGTTACGAGTAAGAAAATAAAGTATAAAAATATTTAAATAAATAAATAAACAATAATAATAATAATAATAATAATAATAATAATAATAATAATACAAGGATGAGATAAGGAAAAATATAGAGTGGTAAGTAAGAAATAAAAGAAATTTCTAAAGTTAGAAAAAGAGAATAATGTCTTGGGAGTTTTTTCTCTTTCTCTCTCTCTCTCTCTCTCTCTCTCTCTCTCTTTCTCTCTCTCTTTCATCGGAAGCATTCGTTCAAATGAATTCACTCGAGGACAAATGTCACTACAACTTTCTTAAGTTTCGAATGCATAACGCATATAAATAGAGAAAGAGCAATAGCTGTTTCTGGCATCCCTATTTGAAGATACACACAGAGAAAAGGAGAACAAGAGAGAGAGAGAGAGAGAGAGAGAGAGAGAGAGAGAGAATAGAAGGAGATAGTATCATCAAGGAAGCTAATTAAACGCAAGCATTACAAGCATGCACTATGGTTACTCTCCTTTATTATCAAGCTCATCCTTCTAAGTCTGTCTTAACTTTATGCTGATGTAATGTAAACTTTACAACAGATAGTAAACTAAAACAATTTCCCGTCCCTTCTCTTTTTCTTATTTATGCATTACATTTTTCAAAGCTTTAAATTATTTCATTTTAGGGAACATCTGTTAAACTTTAACCTTTGACGATGTTCCTTTGAAATGTTATAATTGTTGTAAAAAAAAAAAGAAAGAGAAAGATCGTATGAAAGTATTTGTTTTTTTCGTGTGAAAAGATTGTTTTATATAAAAATAATAATATATTAAACGTTTGAAAAGTTATAAATGTATTTTGAATATTGATGAATAATAATATGTATGGTAATACTCTTGGAATATACTTTTATTTTAATTACTGTTATATTGATATTATTATTACTTTGTATTATTGATTTATATTGTATTATTATGATATTATTATCATTATTATAGTTATACGAATTTATATTAATACTTTTAAAAAGAAGATTGTTATTATTATTACATCGATTTACATTACTAAGGAATAATAAAATATGCAATTATTATTTTATCCAAGTTCTATTGGAATATTATTATTATTATTTCACTGATAACGATATAATAATTAAAAAAGAAAAAATAAATCCAATCGAAACATAATAATATTTTGATGAAAGATGGGTTGCAAAATTTTCAACAATTTTTTTTTAAATTGACAATGAAAAAATTTCTTTGTATCATATGTTAAAACTTTTTGAAAACTTTTCAATTCGATCCACATACCAGTCAAAAATTACTTCACCACGTAAAAAAATAAACTCTAAAATGTAATTCAAAAAAAAAAAAAAGATCCTTAAAAAAAATTGTACAAGGTATTTGTAAAAAATCGTAAAAATTTGTTGTAGAAATAATTGAAATACCGATAAACACATAATATAATACATTATGCAAGTAAGAAAGTAAATAGAACGAATTGTGGTATTTGGGACCTCGATAATTCGAGGTGTTCGACCAATCAGGATGAATAACGCCTTCTGCTTGGTGTCCCGTGAAATTGAGAATTGGTTGGTTGGTTGGTTGATAGGTAGTAGATATTGTGGTAAATGGTTGAATACGTAAAGTCTTTTGGGAGCTTACGGAGAGAAAATTTTACCGAAATACCAAAAGCTTATCCAATCGGGATCGACGGTTAGTCTAGTAAACTTTTATCGTGCTTGATCCTGACCACCAGCTGTGTTCGTTCTATTTCCTTCGTGTAAAGTACAACTATACACACACATCCCCCACCCTATATGCCCACTATACCACATACTATGCTATCAAAAAAAAAAAAAGACAAAAAATAAAGAGAAAGAGAGACTGCACTATATAATTCTAACAAAGCGTATTAGATCCTATTCTCTTCCTATTATCCTTGCCAGAGTTTTACTTCAAAGTGACTCTACAATACGATTGCTCGTACTTTATATTACTTTACAGAGAGTGAAGGGGGAAGGAGGGGGAGGATGAGGATCAATAGTTTTTCGATATGATTTTTAAAATGAATTATTTATTTATTTCTTTTTCTTTTATTTTCTTTTTTTCTTTTTTCACGAAACCTTTAGCAAATTTCCTAGTTTTCTTTTTTGTAATTGAAAAAAACTATTAACCAATTGGATATTATTATTATTATTATTATTATCATTATTTAAAAAGAAATAAAGTCATTTAGATTTGCAATTAAATTATGTGTTTTCAAATTAAATCGAAATATTTTAATTAATTATTTTTAAATTAATCGAAAAACGATGTTATTTATTTGAACAATCAGGAAATGTGATGATAATTGATATTTCAAAATTATTTAGACATTTTTTTTTCTAGGAAGGGGGTATGTCGTACGATTAAATGTAATCAAAATAAATGATGGTTTACCTGATTCATGTAAGATCTCATAAATTCCATACTCTGATCAAGAGCATATGTTTCGCTGCTGCACGAATCTAATATCAATGCACCTAATGTTGAATTAGGTAAAAGTTCGAAATCATTATTGATCTCGTCCAATGCGTATAACATTGCTTCCAATCGTTGAACACCTTTTTCTTCTTTAACTGCACCACAGGGTGATTCACCGATTGTTCCAGCACTGCGTGTTCTCGCCCATATCTGAAACAAATGGAAATAGATTTTAATATCCGTAAAATATTAAAATATATATATATATATATATATATATATATATATATATATATAACAATATATATATAACAAAAATTATTATAATTATAAATAAGAATAAAATTAAATGATTCGAATAATATGAAATTTATTTCTACAATTTATACAGGGTGGGTCACCACATTTTACCATCTAGATTTACGTTATCATTATTACGCGTAGCAGACAATGTTTAACATGGAGTTGAATGGCTT